ACATTTACATTAAAATCAGGTTGCATAGTTTACAGGACAAAAAATTCCATACACAGACAGAAAGTCTATTGCAACCCCACTGTCACAGCATGCAAGACTGATTTATATAGGGAGTGGAGATTACAAGATGGGTGATGCCGAATGATGGTAGGCTTGAGTGGAGGGGGGTGGTGTTATCTTCAGGGCATGACACTGTCATCTCTAATCTGAAATGTGCAAAGACCAAGCATTACTTGTTTTAGTGGAAGCTTAAAAGTGATGATATGGAAAGCTGAATATTAAAAAAATGTTACAATGTATGTCTACTGCATTAAGCTCTTCCCATGAAAGTGTCGACCAATCAAATTATATTATTATTTTCGGGATACCATAAATATGAACACATTTAATTATAAAATGAATTTCTACTCAGTACTTGGGCATATAAATTATGTGAGTAATTTTGAAGTAGTGGGTATTATTTCGTAGCCCTGTCTCAGAAAACCTGGGATATACTCCAGATATTGACCATGGGATCAATTTGCGTTTGATCCTTTCACATTATCTGATGGTACTGAAAAGATTCTGGGTCATTACTGATAACCATTGGTAGAAGTGACACCACTACTTTTAAAGGAATTCCATAAATTTTTACAGTAACAAGTATTATATCTGATTACATTTTCAAATTAAATAATGCATTTAAAATTAATGAAATTTAAAAGGGCTTTTCACTTGTTACTTTTGTCTTGTGGAAAAATATTAATGGGCAGCTGCAGACTTTTAGAGCTGTCACCTTTTCTCAAAATCAAGTTTAAATTACTTATTAGTTTGAATTCATTCAATCAATTTAAACACAACTTCATCTGTTGTGTTTCATTGTTAATTACTTTTCATTCTAGTGATACGGGGTTTCAATGATAGATAAAATTTGATGGTTATCTTATCCCATACTTTGTCACAGCAACATTAAAATAATATAGCTATATGTTTTTTGGGCACCCTTGACATTTTAGGGACTAAAATTATTGGCAAAATTCAACATTTTTTTAGTTTGTGGTATTACCTATAACTACAGTAGCAATCAAAATTATTCAGCCCTCCTTGCAAATTGGGTTTAATAGCAAAATTGACAAACTTTCAGCTGTTTCTGATAAACAGATTAAACAAGAACATTTTAAATAGCTCAACACAAGTAAAATTATAAGTGGTTTCTCCAAATTTAAAGCCCCTGTCACACTGCGCTGTTTAACGATTCTGTCTGAAAAACGAAGGCATATGTTCATTGGACTTTTTTATTCGTTTTTCAGCGGGTTTACAGACGTATCTAAACGTTGACAGACAGCGCTAGCTGTTTCAAACTTTGGACACGTTCAACATTTCTGACGGCCAGCTTTGGATAGCGATTGGCGGTTCTCATATGTTACTCTGGCGTTTTTTTTTCACCAAGTTTTCACCATTACTCGGGCAGAATCTTACCGGTTTTTAGACTTTTATGGCTGTTGGGCAGGCAGACAGCTCGTCTGCCTCCAGCCACGGAACCTCTGGGGCATCCAAGTCTGAAGATTCCTCCCTATGAGCAGGAGTGGGAGGCTCCTGGGCTTACCTGGCTGGGGCTTTTGCTCCACTGCCCTTGCCCTTGCCTGTAGTACCCTTTCTCTTAGCTGGCATGATGAAATGAAGTGTGATAGTACTCCAAAATAATAGTATTCCGAGATAATAGTGATCCAAATATAATTTCAAAACAAGCGATGTGGACCGTCCAGGAGCTGCGACTGTTGTGATGAGGCGATGGACAGAGCTTGGCCTTTTATAAAACGCAAACCAGATGTTGATAGACGTAATTCAGACGTTTTTCAGCCTTCTCGTTTGTTACTCATACTCAAGCAGACGGTACTGTAGGGGTAATGCCTCGAACAGAACACCAATGTTGGGGAAATGCCTCGAATGGTGGCACCTTTGTGGTGATAATGCCCAAGCAGTGGCAACGGTGTTGTGAGTGCAATGGCACGTCACACAAGGGTGCCGGCTGTTGGGATTACACCTCACAAGTGGACACCATGTGTTGAGGCAATTTGCCTAATGATATTCAAATTATTAATTTGACTATCAAAAAAAAAAAACGATATTGTAATATTAAAGGTGCACTATGCAAGTTTGTTTACTTTCACTTCTGTTGACATTCAAACTCAAACAAAACAGAGGTAGCCCGCCCCTCCCTCCCATAGTTCCCTCCTTCCCATGCTTCCATAACTATCAACTCTTGTCGGTGATTGGCCGGGACGGTTTGTTATGTTATGGAGCACAGCCTGTGCCCCTTGTGTTTATTTGCAGTTTGTGATGCCTGTGTGATTTCCAGAGCCCGGGTTTTTTTTACAGTGAATTTAGGGGCAGGCAGCTAGCGGATCGTGCAGAGATGTTGGCGAATTGAGACAAAAATATAATCGTGCAGAAAGTAAACAAACTTGCATAGTGCACCTTTAATATTAAATATTAATATGAATACCTCGGGGCACCACCCTTCCTCACTGAAGGGAATACGATAACCAATTAATAAAACCTCAGTCTCAATATCCACTAAGCTATTAATATGGAAATTGATTAATAATTAAATTAATAATTGTAACCAACCTACCCAATCAATAGTTAGATTGAAGGATTTGGAGTTCTACATAGAAGAGGTTGGCAATTTCATTCACTCTTGTACAACATTAATAACCACAGCATATGTCTTTCAAGAATATTTATTTAAATGAAACAAGTAAAACACACAATCTAGACTACGCTGAACACTATATACACAATGAGGGAGGGGTGTGTGTATGTGTGTGTGTTTGTGTCTGTGAGTGTGGGTGAGAGGGAACAAAAGGATGATCAAAGGTGTCTTGCTGACCATGTGGAGTGGGGTAGGGCAACCCTACTGTGACAAAGACCAAGTCTTTGTAACAAAGGAAAGTTTCAAGAGAGTTTTTAAAATGCTCAATGTTGTGTTTGTGTGTGTGTATTACGTTAAAATGAAGAGATATGCGAGTGTTTTGTACAGGAAAGGCGCCGTGTTAGTATACAGGAGGTTATTTGCATGTGAGGCCCTGTCTGCTACACATTAATACCATCCTGACCTACTAAAACACAAACCTAAAAACAATCACAGTAACTATCATTTTACAAATACATACAGTCAGTCTTAGTCTTAAAAGAAGGTTTGGATGCCCAGTCGTTACCAGTCCTTAGTCGAGGAAAGAGGTTTGGTAGTTGCTGCTTGGTGGAGGATCCGATCCTGGGCGATGCTGATCCGGCTGGAAAGAGTGGTTCTGGCGCTGTAGAAGGTCCGTGTCTTTGTTGTGGAAAAGGAGGGAGGCTGGCCGCTCCTCAAAAGCAAGCTGTTGCTTCCAAGGCTTGATCTACTCCTGGTATCATGGCTGATGCTTCAGCATGGCCACGGGGGGGGAAGAGGCCCAGAGGTGGGGGAGGAGTACTCCAGCCTGAGCAGTCCCCGGGGGTCCAGGAGCCTCACCAAGGGGGGAGAGCTGAGCCAAAATAGAGAGTCCAGAGAGCCAAGAGACAAGAGAGTGATAAACTGGTTTACCACTGCTTTTATCAGCCTGGCCTGCTGGTGGGAGGGGCTTACAGGCAGCAAGTGGTCATGGGAAATCCTGAGCTCCATTTTGTTTTTCCTCACATATGAAAGGTTTCCTCCGTGTGACCCCAACAGTACTCAGGCGGCTCATGTTCTGTAAGCTGGGCTCAATTAAGACGTTACTCATGCTTAAGCAAACGTTTCTCAGACGTATTTAAAGGTTACTCATGCTGTTCTATCTACCGTCCATGGCCAAAAATTTGCTGCCAGTTTGCACAGTAGGGCACATACTAAACATTGAAGGTCTCCAAGACATACACCAAAACTGATCCAAAAGCACAAGCTCCAATATGCTCAAAACCATATAAATAAGCCACAGAAGTTTGGGGATATTGTTCTGTGGAGTGATGAAACAAAACTGGAATATTTCGGGCTTATGAATCAGTGGTATGTCTGCAGGAGGAATAAAGAAGCATATCGTCCGCCTGCTGATAAAACCTCGTATCTCCAAATTTGATAAGAAACAAAAACTCGTATGTCCACGATAATAACATAAACATTGCAAAATACAAAATTTTATTTACTGGATACATTCTTGGAAGAAAAATAGTCATCCTACCCGAACACAGCTCAACTGCATTCTTACATGCAAAATTAAACATTTCTTATGCTCTCCTGTAAAGGCAGGTACGAGGTTTTATCTGCAGGCCAACGATATGCTGAGAAGTACACCCTGCCTACAGTGAAGAATTGTGGGGGCTTTTTGATGCTCTGTGGCTGCCTTGCTTCCTCTGGCACTGGAAATCTGCAAAGTGTGGAGGGCAAGATGGATTCAGTCAAGTACCAGGATATCCAAGTAGAAAATGTCATGCCGTCTGTTGGGAAGCTGACGCTTGGGTATCATTGGACCATCCAAAAGGACAATGATCCAAAGCATACCTCAACATCCACCAAGGCTTGGTTTCAGAAGATTCTAGAGTCTGGGAAGATTCTAGAGTGCCCATCACAGTTGCCTCACTTGAACCCTATAAAAAATCTATCATAGAATTTGAAGTTTCACATTGTTTCAGCATGCAAACCCTAGAATATTAGTGAATTGGAGGCCATTGTCCTTGAGGACTGGGCTAAGATTCCTTGGGAATACTGCCAAAAGCTGACATCTGCCTATGCATCCCATTTCCAGCAGGTCATAGCGGCAGAAGGGTGCTCTACTAAGTATTAAAGATGCTTGTCATGAAGGGATAGAATAATTTTGAGCTTGCAGTAGTCATTTAAAGTGGCATTTTGTGTTGAATTTGGAGATGCCAGTTGTAATATTTGTTGTGTTGAGCCATTTTAATTGTTCTTGTTTGATTTGTTCATTTCAAACAGCTGAAAGTTTGTAAATTTTGCCAGTAAACCTAATTTGCAACGGGGGTTGAATAATTTTGACTGCAACTGTATATGTAGGTTAGCTCACTCGGTTAAGGCGCTGCATTTGTGGAGTTTGATCGCAGGGCGCAGGTTCGATCCCTGGTTGTACCAACTGGCGGTGGTCGGCAGCTTTTTTCAGGGCAGCGCATGATTGGCTTTAGGGCTGCAGATATGCAAATTGGGAAGGGACTGCCGGGAAGAGATACAAAAAAAAAACTGCCTTGTTCGTTGCTCAAGCGCCTCCTGTTGGCCAGCCAGGCGCTCGTATGGGAGATTCTAAGCATGCTCATGTTCGGGTATCCTCCGCCCTCGTTCTGAACTTGCGAAAGTTTCGACCAATGAGTGAAAAGATGCAGGGGCTGACAGGCGCGTGCTTTGGAGGATAGCCGCGAACTATCTCTCTCTTTTGAGCTGGCAGCAAGGGGTCGCATACGAGTACATAGAACTTGTACATAGTTCTCGAATTGGGCATTCCAGATTCGGGCGGGATTGGAGATGCCAAATTAAAAAAAAAAAAAATGATAATCATAAACTGCATGAAACAAACACTCACATCTTCGCAATTTAAAAAATCTGGAAACGTTCCATATTGGAGATAGGGCCCAGCCCCTGCATAAGACTTACTTAAAAACCAACTTCAGACAATTTGAGCATACTAAAAAATTATTTAAGGCTTGAAAGGTAAAAGTTGATTGTAGGTTTCCATAGCAAAGGTGCCCTGTGAAGGGGTAAAAATTACATTCAGTCAGAGTGCATAATCTTGATCCATCCTGATTATCCCCATTGGGTCCAGCAGCTGATTTGCACACAGGAGAATAAGTTGTTTTCCAGAGTATCATCATTTATTTTGGGTCATCAAGTATTTCAGCTTCATGATTAATGTGTTTTTAAATGAACTGACAGCATAATATTAAACAGTAAGATAAACCAAATTTAGCAGCAAACCATGCACTGAGTACAAAGACTTACTTATCTTGCCATCTGGGGAGCAACACTATTGCATCAAGTTATATACATTCGTGAAGTGCCACAAATTAAATCACAAGTTTGCAAAATACAGCAGAATTATATTTTTTCCAACTGCAAAGTGGAATAAGTGTGAAATTCCATTGGTAAGTCTGCTGGGAATGAGCTGCCACTCTTCCCTTTAACCGGCTCTTTGGATAAACTATAGTGACATCTCCTGCTCCACACACGCCACCTTACTCCAGCACGCTGAAAAGTGCTTCAGCGGAGATTCAAGAAGTGCCACTGCTGGGGATTATTTCTCATGAATTTGAAATGTTCAAAAATTTTGTTTTGTAAGGCACCTGTTTTTATGGTTATGCATGTGATTACATCTTTTTTCTCCTTCCTTTTCTACATAAACCATATGAATTCAAGAAACATGGTCTCTTGATTAGCTCACTTGTGTTTAAGGGCCATATTTTATTGATCTAAGCACACAACTGTTATGATTCTGTTCTGCTCTGCCCATGTTCTGTTCATGTTTTGCATTTGCCTTGTTCCATGCCATGTTTTGTTTCTGTTTATTCATGCATTTCCTGCCATAGTCCAATTCCCCAGTTAGATTCCGGTCATTGTTTTGTATTTCACCATGCATTGCACTTTGTCTCCCCTGTCTGGTCTTGTGTTATGTGACAGCTTATTTCCCCTAGTATTGTGTGCCACGCTTTCAGGTGATTTCATGGTTTCTGGGTTTTCAATAGTTCCTTCTAATCTCGTTTGCTTCCTTCACCTTGCTTTTCTATATTACTAACCAATACTAACAGTTTGTTGTTTTTGTTAAAGTTACTAACCTAGACTAACATTGTATATAATACTAACTTACTAACGAGCACTAGGGATTGTATAGCTGCACCTTACTAATTGATTAACAAGCTCTCAGCACCCACCCTGTTCTAGTCTCCGCCTCTTGTCTTCACTCAAACTACTTTGCTGCGTTTCAGCGGATCCTCCGTACCTGCTTAACTCTGTTCTGCCTCTCATTATCTGTGCACGTTAGAACTCCCTAACCGGAGCTGTATGTTTTGTCAATAGGCTGTCTCGTGATCCCTGTCCGCGTTTTGGCTTTTGCCTATTTCATGTGATTAGGTTCTCCCTCGTGTTTGCTCCTTCGTAATTAGTCTGATCCAATTCACCTGTCCCTAATCATAGCATGTGACTTCCCTTGTGTGTATTTAAGCAGTCTTCTCACAGCAGTTCCCCGTCAGAACGTTTCCCTTGTGCTACGCTTGTTTTCGCCTTGTATTCTCTTGTGATTCACTTCTGACTGGACCGTCCCTGATTATCGATTTTGGCTCTGTTTTGGATTGATTGTTGCTTCTGTGTATCAAACCCTTTTTGCCCGACTACGCATTCTGTGTTTGGTGCCCTGTTAACGACTCGGATTTCGCCCTGTGGATTTTTGATTTTTGGATTGTGGACTTTGTACCGTTGCCTCCTGCTCTGCGGGGGTTCGCTCCCTTTCCAAATAAAATCCCATTTTTCTGCACTGCTCTGCTCTCGCATCTGGTTCCTGAACGATACCTTACAACAGCATGGCGCAAGTTCATTTAGGGTTTGTCCAAATCCACTTTTGCCAGTTAAATGACCGATAATCTGAGCACAAAGTAAGGCTTGTAGTTCGAAGGAGTTGTGTTTTTCTTTGTATTGATCAAAGGTGTTCTGCATGTAATGAGAAATGGACAAATCGGAGAATCATCTCACACACCCTTTAGAAGCCAGGTGTGTTTCCATCCTGGTGGATTGGAAAACCCACGACTCTAATACCAAGTAGTAGGAAAGAACCCCTCTCTGTGAACTAAACAGATTTGCTTGTGTGAAAAGTGAATGCTCACAAGCCTTTTATTCGAAATCTATCGCATGTTGGTGCGCTGCTGCATGTCCTCACGTGTTGCAAGCAGAGAGTACATGTGTTCTGCACCTGTCTATGTAGCCCATATTACTATCTTAATAATTGGTCACTAAAATAACTATTAAATACTTTGCCATCGACATAAGACCAGTTTTTTTTCTGGTTGATCGCTTTCCGCTGCCTCAAGCTAGCGATACACCATGTGTGGACCACACCTTATTTTAAGACCAGGACACCCATCGGCACTGAGATGGGTACAAGTATATTTGCCATTTAAACAATGTGAGAACTGAACAGGCGGAAAAAAACTGTCTGTCAGAAACTAGCAAAGACTCCTGCATTGTGCTGAGAGCTGCGTTGCGCAGGGTGTAAGAGCCATATGTTTTCTCTTTGAGGGTGACTATTTCTAGGTGGACAACAGTTGATGACTTGCTCTTTACTGAGCGGGAATGAAAGAAAAAAGAACTCAAGGTAGTGTTTTATACCTTCACTCTGCACCTTTATTTTGGTCACTTTGTGCAGTCCTTTGTAATTACCTTTCTGTAGTGATAAATGAAAACCATTTTAGTTTGAAAGCAAAATGCAAAAAATGAATAACAATATTCAGAAAACTATTTACAACCACAATGTTGACTGTAGAACTCCAAACAGATGGAGCACAATGAGGAATAAGCATGCTGAATTTATCACTGAAGAAGTTACTTTGCATTTTGAATACATTGTTAACTACTTCTTTCTATTTCTGGTATCTTTTTTTATTTTTCTGTTATTGATGTGCCTTGAAAATTTCCTTCCCCTCAGCCTTTGAATCAACCGTGTCCTTCTTTAGTTTTGAAAAGTCTGGTTCCATATGTAATTAGGCTTCTGTGTATGCGCAAGTCAATGCTGTAATGATGGACAGGTCTGATGTCACTGGGCATCATACTACATCACTCTGGTGTAAAACATTTGAGCCTTTCTAGTGTTGACAGAATTTGTGTGGTCCTAGTGATAATTCACTAAACAATGAAAACGTCTTACTCGTTTGAGACTCAGATGGTGATTTTTGTATTCGTCATTACAAAATTCTAATACAAATACTGCACGTAAAACAACAAAAGAGTTTTGCTGTGATTACATTTTTGTGGTTATCCAATGCCTCGCACCTTTCTGGAATAAATAAGACATTGCATTCTCACAAGAGTTCAGTTGTGTTCAAAATGTATTTCCTGAAGGGTTTGAATTTTAAAATTTGTTACTCCAGACTCCCTCAACGAGGCTTTTTTTGTTATTGGTTGTCTGCCAGCAGGGCGAAGCTAGTATGATCAGGCCCGTGAGAGTCTCTTATTCCCCCTGACCATACCATTACTATTTTTTTCACTGAGGTGAGTGACCGAGAAGCTTCTCTTGCGGGAGCTTGGCAAAGTCCATTGGCAATCAACCAATTGCACCTTGGAGCATTTGTTTGTTCAAGACATTTTTGCCTTCCCTTACAGATCATAATTGATTATAAGCCAAGACCTTAATTGAAGGAGAAAACTTTTTTATTTTATAAAAATCTGTTATTTATTGTTGCTCAACAATGTGTGCCCTTGCCCGGACAGAACATATTGAGCTTTCAAATGAAAACTACAACTTTATCAGTTAAATTGAGCTTTTACTTGGGTTTGAGTACAGAATTGTACTAAAAAGCTTTCCACAAAGAGTTTTAAAAAAATACCAGTGTATAAAAATATTTTAAATTATTTTTCCATTCTTAAATTAATTTTTGCCCCGTTTTATGCTCATTCTATGTCTTTTGTCATGTAATGCACTTTGAGCTGCATTTCTTTCCATGAAAGGTGCTATAGAAATAAAGTTTTTTATTATTATTATTATTATTATTATTATTATTATTTTTGTTAAGTCTTTTACCTTGGTCACCAGGAATGGCGCTTCAGACCAGAATGCCAAGCTCTTGGGGCAGCACTGTGGCGCAGTGGTTAGCATTACTGCCTCACAGCAAGAAGGTCGTGGGTTCAAATTCGGCCTGGGGCCCTTTCTGTGTTGAGTTTGCACTTTCGCGCTGTGTTCGCTTGGGTTTCCTCCCACAGTCTGAAGACATGCATATCTGGCTAATTGGAGATTGGAGATGCTAAATTGCCCATAGGTATGAGTGTGATAGCAAATGGTGTGAAAATGGTGTGTGCACCCTGCGATGGATTGGTGAGTTGTCCAGGGTGGGTTCCTGCCTCGCCTGTAGTCAGCTGGGATAGGCCCCAGTTCCCCCCGCGAC